TTATATATTACCTACCTTTTAAATGTGTTATTTAGTTAACAGTCAAAAACTGCTTTATTACCTACCTTTAAGTTACTTACCTTTTGACCTTTAAGTTGTGTATGTAGGTGAAATTATAATTGAAGCACATAAATGTTATTTGATACTTTATCCGCCAAATGTCACCGGTAAGTAATAAGTAGGTATGTCTAATTGGCTGCGTAGGTAACAAGTTGGTACGCACCCTTATACATATTTATTTTCGTTTAGCGGGAAAAGAAAAAATAAACCACATTCGGAGGGTTTAGTCGTTGCCGTGGTTACACTTTATATTGTTGGCTTCTTGCAATTGTGGAAATCAATCATGTTTTCTAACAAAGAAGATATATTTCTTTTGTAGCTAAATATAAGTCCGTAGGAAACTCAATTCTGAGGAAATATTTATTTTAGGGTCATGTAAGGGCGACAAAGCTCGCTTACTCTTACGTCATGTCTGGCTCCTTGTTTCAAGTCCTTGACTGTCATGTCGTGATCATTCAAGGAGGACTCCATTGTCGGAGGAACGTGTCTTAACACGAATACTTTGTAGAGGTTCATCGTAAGATGCATAAGTGTCCATTTGAAGTCAGTTTTTGTCATGCTTTGTTTTATAACTGAAAAGCTTAGTAACTTTAACTACGTGCGTCCTACGTCCACCTTCCAGCTCCATCATCAAACCCTGGTTACCACATAGTATCAAAGTTGTCGTCAAGGCAAAAAATAGATATAAATTTATGATGATAGTTTTCAGATTTTAATATTGATTTACTCTTCTTTTTGAAATTGATTACTTTTGATGCTATTTTGTCCGTGCCACACAATGTAAACATTTATGTAAAACAAAGATCATGTTTTTTGTTTGTTCGTTCGAAACCTCTATTTTAGGGCAACATGATATTAAGGTAGGTTAGGTACGTAACGCCCAAACACAAGATGTTATGAGCTATTCTTTTAAATTCAAATAACAACAATTGACTTCAGTGTTGCAAAAAAGGGTCAGTTTCATAAAATACGTTTGAACACTGAACAACCGACTAATTGCCGAATAAATTCAAAAATTGAGTATAATTCGCATGAAATTAACTGGCAATTCAAATAACGGGAACTCTGCTGGAAATGTAGGTGCTGGATATTTTGTAACTAAAAAATCACAATAATAACTATTCTGGGCTATGAGACCTAAAGAACCAAAGTTACATTGTATAATATTTACATTGTTAAAACAAAGAGAAATAGTGATCACGCAAAGGTTGGCGTTATACCAATCGTTAGCGAGCTTCATTCATTAATTAATTAACATTAATGAGTATTTGGGCAATCAACAATTTTCCGAGCACCTATCTACTCTGACACAGCTAAATTTTGAACTAAATTCATACAGCCTGATACAGGTTATTCACTTATTCCAACCTGCATTTAATATTTACTTGTCTCTCAGTTTTAATGTATTTTAGCGACGGACTGACTTTTGAGATTGTCTTCAAGTTGTAAGACTACTATAAATAAATTAGCAGCTTCTTACTCCATCAAACAAGTTAATAAAACTATCTAAAAACCCAACATTTTAGTTTTTAATATACGGAACGTAATTAGTTCATTGTCTTTGCACAGATTATTCAGAATACACATTTTAAGCTTCGCATTGTACCTAAATAAATAATTATGATTACAGAAGCTGATCGTTAATAAACAATTGATTTTTTTCTTAAAAAGTTACATTGTGTCGTACATTGGTTATGCGGTATATGGTACCTGCATTAAGGTAGACGCAGGTCTCCCTGCTCAAAATTCAGCAACAACCGATTTAGGCATGCTCGTTCGATTTGGTATACCTAACCAAGGATCTAGATAGGTAGTTGCGTAAGCTTATTCTTAAAAGGTTACAGCAAGCAATGACTAATCCTCTGAAGCCAAATCAAGTGTGCAGAGGTTTAAGCTCATATTCACCCATGTTGTACCCATTTTTATATTAATTAAAAACCATTTTATACATACTCAAATTCACGCCTTTACCGCAATGGGGATCTGCATTCTGCAGAAATTAAAGAGCGCCATCTACATTTACCACCACTACAATGTTATATACTTCTTTAGTTTCCATCACATGTACCTTTACTTATGGGTACCTATTCAAGCAAGGTGATTTAAAAGTACTCTTTATTTGACCTTTTTCTAAAATCTCTTCAATGAGATCAGCGATATATACTGTACTGCCTATACTTACCAGCTTTTTTTGAATCTTGTGCCATTTTGAACTTACCTTTACGCCTCTACGCCGCCTTCTCTCCTCAGCGCTTTTGAAGTCAGCCTCAGCTTAGTGACTATTCTCGAACTCAATGCGTAGAAGGCTGTTTTTATTTTTTAAATCATATTAAAGTATTGATTTTTTTATTGTTTCAGGTGCTGAAGTCACTTAACGGGACCTGCTCAGCTCCGATCGAAAGATATCGCTTGTAAAGAGAAACCAGATTTGGTAAGTCATTGTATTCTACTATGTTCTATCTATGCATATGTACATGTTTGCACGTACAAAAGTGCAACTTCATTGAGTAAATTAAATACATAGTTAATTGAACAAACTGGGCATCCAGCCAACCAGTGCAAAGATCTTGGACTCAAATAGACAAAAGAAAAATACCATAATACTAATTTCGAGAATTATTTTATGGAATCAAGGCCAGTAGCAGATACAGATTTTCCGAAAAAGAAAGCTTTGTTTCAATGAATATATAGTCTACTATTTTGGGAACTCCGATGGTAACGTACCCACTTAAAAAATATTTATCTGTACATGATAGAGGAACTTAATATATTAGGTAATATAGAACAAAAACTCTGCAGCAAGTATTCATAAAAACAGAACATATTGATTCTTAAGTAGCATTATTATTGAGACCCGTGATAATAAATTGTGATTTAATCTTATCTCAAACACTAGAACATGATTATAGAGATACCGATAAAACCCAAGATATCAGAGCACATACCTAGTGCTGAGCCGCAGTGTACAGCAACGTAAGTAAAAAGAAAATACACATGTGTACTCAAAATCATGAATAGTAAATCATAGAACAGGCGCCAACGAGTTGATGTATACACTATATTTAGATAATTATATAAAATCATGCGTGCGTAATTATTGCTTGACCTTGGCAAAGGCAAGATGTGGAACAATAGTGATGTGAGCTCATTGGTGCATGTCCGCTGCATGTCGTAATGGCTAAATTGAAATATCAACTGCTTTTTATTTAGCGTTGACAACTAGTCAATTTATAGCCAAAGTCCACTTCTTGGCGTTTCTATACCCTCGTACCTCGTTCATATATACGTAGTGTACAAGGAAAAAACATTATTTAAAACACAAAGTGACTAATCAGAGCTTGTGTTTATCCCAAAGCAATACGCCTCATGAGATTTCTAAAATGAGGTTTACTATAAGATTCGATGTATTTATCTGCAGTTATAAAAATAGATTGGGACTAGGCAGAGCTTACGTAGGCACCTACGAACGTACCACGCGAATCTCCTCGCTCATTCAAGATCAAGGTTGGAATCTATGAAACGCACGGAATAGTTTTATGATCAATTAAAGTCAAGTTGCGACGCATTTGACAGCTACTGAGCAATACATATAACATCAATACGTTTTAATAAGTTTTAATAACGTCCTCTGCTCATGATGCCATTTGAAGTTGTTGAGTATTAGGTATAGACAAAATATTGTGTCTGAATTCATTCTTCGATACGTATAAAGGCACTTAGATATGATGTAGTATTGTAGTATGCTTAGGATTTCTAATTAATTTTTTAAATAAGGATATATTACATCCCAAAACTTTCCAAAAAGAGGTTACTTAACATCGGATACCTGAGTAACCTACACGAATACTTAGACATTTTAGATCTAAAACTAAAATACGTAAATAAAAGATAATGTATAAATTTTATTACAACAAGATATCTTCTGATAGATAGGAATGAAAAAATGCCATCAAGGTCAGAATATTTAATGCGAAACAAATGTGTCTGTTTACGTCATCGTTGCATAAAACATAAACATAAATGTCGTAGGTAGATTTCTTTATTGGTAAATGAGAATGCCACTTATATTATCAGTGGACCAGAAGACATGTTCAGGAGTTGGAAGTAGCTGAACTACAGAAATTTCCTCGAAGATCGTATTGCTGATACGGTCTTAAGTAAAACGGCTTTGATACTAGCTTTGTTACTCGATAGTAAAAATAAATGAGATTTAGGGCTTTGTCCACGACGCATCATTTGACGAATGCATGTATTCATCAGTGCTATACAGCATTGTAGTGTTTTAGTAGTATTTTAGGTTTCATAAGACACTACAGAAGCGGAGGTCAAGTTTTAGGGCCGCGTTGTGCAGTAATAAAGACTGACGGCTTCCAGTCTATATCTAAATATCTAGAATGAGAACTTGACCTACCTAGCTACTAGCTACTAGTCGACAGATCGTTAGAGACCGTTGAGTATCCCCGCGATGGACTGACTGTTCGTTCGCAGTGCAGGCACTACGACATTACGAAATCATTTGTTATTTACGATCTACGAAAAAGTAGAAATTTCATTTGATTCTGTGTATCTAATCGTTGTTTAGTACCTATAATATGTAAATGTGAACGTTATAATTAATATAACTGTATTTTACACGTGGGAGTCTTATGTATATACATAAAAGGTTAAGGTGTTCTGCCCCATCTTTAATTGTTGTGTAAATAAATTCTTATAAAACAATAGGTACCGAATGGTCTCCCAAACAGCTTTATTATCATAACATTAATGTTTCAGATCTCTTCAGAGTGTTGAGGAACAAGGCTGTGAGTGGCAAAATAATAAGACTTTGAAAGCTATTTTGTAAACATGAACGACTGTATTATGATACAAGTTTGAGACTGACACGTGAACAAAATACGGCGGAAGAGTTCATGTGGTTAAAGCAAACACACTAGGCAGCGATGCTGTCGTACATGGTGCCGGTAGAAGAGAAGCCTCCACCAGTGCCTGGCAAGGGGAGGCTGGCTCTGGAGTTGGTGGGCAGTCCCGGCAGCCCCGAGTCGAGCGCGCGCCGAGCTCGTTCCACCATAACCAACATCTCCAAAGAATCCTCCACTAGTTCCTTCGCCAGTGATCTCACTCTATCGTCGTCCACACCCACGGGCGCACACGACAAACCAAAGCACAAGCTACTTGGAAATGGAACCAAACACACTACTTTAAAGAGGTAAGCCGTTTTAATGTACTTAATAAGGATTAAATCAGGAGATCGACGCTATAGAAAAATGTATATTTTCATAATATAATATTTATTAAGGTATAATCCATTCCTGTTATCAGTTATAAATGTGTTGTAAGATACTTATTACAACTTGGTATGGTAATAGCGAATATAATTGATTAGAAAAACAACGGAACGTAATCTATAATCGTTGCGTAAAATTGGAGCGCGAAAGTGAAATTACTGGATGGATAGTCATGGGAACATGAATTTCTGGAGAGTAATCAAAAATTAAATATCCCTTTAATCAAGGTACAAGTACAAATTAACTTTCTCTTCGTATTTATTTATTTTGTTTTCAAAGATAGGTGCGGGAATCCAAGTTATGAAATAGGTACTCTAACTTTAGGTAGGGTATACGATATGTAAATATTATGGAGAAAATGTAAGTACGTACGGTGTAATAAATATTCAGGCAAGAGCAATGCACTAATCAAAGGGAATTTATTTTCGGCGATCGTTTCAAATGATATGGCCATGATAAAACTAAATACGAGTATCACGTAAGTGATTTATATTTGAATACAAAATTGTACGAACGTTTTACATCTAAATATTAACATATAAAGTTTTATTGCGGAGCTGCGTTTGTTTATCAGATTTAAACGCGAACCACTGGGGCATACGCTAATCATGTAAATGTTGTGATTTTTAATTGCTTTGCCAATTATCCACTGGAGTCAATTACGTGGTGTGAATTGCTACAAATGACTTGTAAGGTATGTTCACAATGAGGCACGAACGCATTCTTCATAAAATTATTGAAATAAAAACATACCATTTGAATTAACTGCACATGTATGTATTGTATGTATACAATTGACTAAGAAATGCATTGATTTTATTTACTTACATGCAGACTTTAATTTACTTTAATCGTATAATAATGAAAGGTATGTTTATTATTTCTTTTTACCCATGTAGTGTGGATTGTCCCAGGCGTCAGGTAGTTTTATAGGTGGTTTGGATAACCACGATGTATAAATTTCTATTTGACAATCGGGCCTGTGAAAGAAATAATCAATGTAAAAAATTGTATAGGGTTGAATAAAAAGTATGTAGGTACATATACATAATAACGGTTCTAGGTGGTGGGCTATCTCATCTGGCGCTACGCCGAGGACGATGTCACTTGTACAGTTTGTCCTCCACAAACGCCTTTTAAAGTGGCTGTACACGTAGAGAATAGGCGCACACTTGTACACGAGCCCGACAGCTGATTATTTTCACGGCGGCCTTTCACGGAGATTGCAAGCGTGCCTTCCACCGAGCTCTATACATGACGTGCATGACACTCTGAAAGGCGCTTCCCGTCCTTTTGCAGCGGTTTCAATTAAAAAGTGAATTAGATCTGGGACTTTAAAGCGAACAGCCTCAATTGATGTTTGATGCAACTCTCTTTTGTTGTGGGTTTTACTATTTGGTTTTTTGAATAAGTTTGTTTAAACTTTGGAATGGAAAATAACCACACTAGCAGATGAATTGTGTGAGAGGAGAGAATGCGACAGGAGAAGTAATAAGTAGTTAATTCTACATATGAGCAAAGGTTTGCACGAATACGAGAAGACAATTGTCTCAACCTCTTTAATTTAAGTAGGAGAATCAGGTTTATCAACTGACCTGGAGGCGAGCCATCCTATTACTCCTGTGGAAGTTTGAGGTACTGGTTTCAGTGATTTCCCTTCTTCTGTCTTTGCTGTTACTTGAGACCGAGTTACAGATGCTGCTTTTTGACGAATAGCTTCAGCTTGAGCCAATGCTTGCCTTGACGTGGAATGAAAAAGACATTTGACAATGAACATAAAATATTACCATTTGGTAATATGCCGTCCTCAATTTATTAATATATCGTACATCATTTGTATGTATGTAAGTACTGTATCAATATCGAACATTCAGTCATGTTTAGATACTAATAGATATTTTTACGATTCTATAATATAAATATAATAAGAGACAGCAACACTTGCCTAATTACCTACCTGTAAATAAACTTTAAAATAGTTTATAAATTAAATTCTGTTGATCAAGTTTGTACAGTATGGGCCGCAGGTCACCGTAACTTCGCAAAGGATGGTACAATAGATAGACATTTTATAAAGACAATTTGTCCATTTTCCAAGGTTAGGTATCAAAAGCGATCGATAGCTGCTAGTAGTAAGTTCATAACAGTTATCTACCTAAGTATAGACCCATGTCCGACACCGACACGAGCCATAAATACGTATTATATTGATTACGTAAACTATTATATCACAGCCACCGCTTACAGTCCATGTTACTCTGTTCAAATGTAAGATGGAGCTCTAATAGTCTAATAGCCACCTATGTACGTCATTTATATTCTTCTAATATCCGTCTTATAAAGACACTAGCACTAGTACAGTATATTATCTATCGGCTTACTCACGTAACTGTTTGACGAGGAACTCGACTAGTTTCAAGCCATGATAAAGCCTCATATTCATGAGCAGCATGAAACTAGTCGAGTGAGTAAACCGCCAATATGATAATAGTTTTAATATAAACTAAATACGTTAGGCATTGGCAGATGCCCCATGAACCCCAGCAATACATAAATAGATATATTTATTTACTGGAGCTTTCTAAAAACTAAACAAAAATAGCTACTGAAAGGTTAACATTTTGTAAAGTATTCAAATAGTCTTTTTTGTAATAATTTCGTGTATTAGAGCACCGTTTGTGAACTGGGAACGGTCGTGTTCGACATTGGTTTCGCATGAAACTCCAGCGCTCACGATAAATTTGATCTCCGTGGCGAATTCTGTCGCTTTGATGTAGTATTGACGGCAGAAGCCGTGTTGCTGCACTGACAGGCGACAGTATTTGTAGACCAGCTAATTTAGAAGCCAACACCGAACGTTATTTACTACCCATTAATTAAATCTGGCAAATACTGAGTTTCAGACATATAACTCTATTTACGAGCACAACAATTTTACTTATTTATGCGACATATGTTGGAATTTAACGTATTTATATAAATTATAAATATGCATCACAATTCACAACCAGTAGCTCTACCTTTGACATTTTTTATTGCCAACTGAGATCAAGGAACTCTCACAATCTTAAATGAAGATAAAATATTTCTAGGTACAAACGTGCACAAAAAACAATTTCTTAGAAAAATACGAGCTAAGATAACTTGAATGTTTTTTGCGCTTTTGATGACTTTGATCAAAATACGAATGCAGCATCAATGAGCTGAAAGTAAAGTAGGTAGGAAGGTAGATATATCAGAACAACAACATTTCGATTCTCAGATACCTATAAATAATATACAAACCGATTTATAAATTAAAGAATTTAAAAATATCTGGGCTGTGATAACAAAGTTAGTTTTAATTTAGTAGCGTGCCCATTTATTGATTTATTTGTCTTACGCTCACCGCTTTCGTCATAAGCGTTCATGAGCACAAACTGAATTCGGATTAAACGTTATCATCGTGTTGCACAGCGTCGAAAGCTTTAAGCCAACTTGAATTCATCAACAAAGACTTCGTCCTAAATGCGCCGTTTGGCACATTTTGTGGAATAGCATGTTAGATACAATAAACATAGTAGGTAGGTACCATCTCACAATATTAGTTTGCTCACGAAGGTGCAGCATAGATTAGCTCAGGATTGAATTATTGTGATTGTGGAGGAAAGCAAGCAGACGTTCATTCCCAAGCAATTACTGCGAAAACTAATATTATATAGCTTTACGAGATTGCTTGCTTTTGCTGCAGGTCATAAAACCAATTATAGAAGACTTTTTTCTTTTTGTAGCTTATTTATCGCTGACTGCGTAGGTATCTAATATACTTTGTGTACTAGTACTAGCTCACAACACAATATGACCTTTAGGAGTAGCGCAATTATTATAAAAAATGTAAGAGAGAAAGTATAAAAAATTCCCACGGGAACGTCAGAAAAAATCACGAACAATGTCACGGGCAAAGCGCTCGAATTACGCAAAGCGTTGAAATGGAATACGTTGATACCTGTTCCTTTACAGCAACATGCACTCGGAGATATTAAAAGGCTTTAATTACTATCTCCAACTTACTTTGATCATGTTGAAACGGCAAAAAGTTGGTCGGAAGTTAGGAAACTACTTACTTTAACTGCAACATAGCACTTACTCAGAGTGGCTGCGTTCTGTTCAGACTATGTAATTGAGTGACCTACCTACGTAGAAATATCCAGTTTACAGTCATTAATTATTGTAGACATCATATTTTACACAATATTATGTCATCTCATGTATCTATAAGTGCTTGTTTCAAATACTTACCTACTGCTCTAGTTATGACTGATGAGATTGACAAAATATTAGGTATTCCATAAGGCGAGAATTTGAGGCTTGTATGTATACTGTATAGTACCTAAATATATTAACGATAAAAAGTTACATGATTGCTTACTGTCTTTCGTCGAGCAACCAACTCCATCTTTCAAACCACTGTTGTCTGCAGTTTTCCTGTTTCTTCCACTGTGCTCGCATTTGGAACGCTTCCGTGTTTGGGTCATACTTAACAGCTTTATGTTCAGTCCCCATTGTTCACCTATAAAGATAGTTGTCGAAACTATTAAACGAGGTTCTATCTATAAAAGGAAAAGAACATGATCTCACTGCAGAAGCAAAACAAGGTAGTAATCTGAGTGAGTCGGGCACGATGCCAACACTACGTCTTTGTTCAAGTGATGACGTTTAATTCCATTGGTAAATGTAAAATAAGGCATGAGAGCACTAGAGTAAACGGCAAGCAGAACAGGACTATCAGTAGATATTGATGTTTAGGGAATCTTATCCATAGGCGTTCGTCTATCGTAGGTAGAGCAGTCGTGTATGACATCTCTCTTGAGTAAATTGTACTCGAGGATAACGTAGCGATTATTTGCTTGCTGTTATGAACTAACCACAAATTCACCACCGT